CCCCGCCCCGACAACTTTAAATGCTGTCTGTTTAGAAAAATTCTGGGCAAATGGGACCTGTTTGTGTCTTCAGACTCAGCCCGTTCCCATCCCACTGGCTCCCCTGTCCACGCTGGTGCCTCGGCTGCGCTGCAGCGTCGAGGGTCTCAACCAAGAGCTGGAAGGCATGTTCGTCTGTCAGCCAGGACATCGGCAGCATCAGGTGACGCAAAAATGCTTGGCACACTTATTTTATTGTTGTTAGGCCAAGCATATATGAACTTGGGTTGGGCTTTGTTGCGCGCCGCTAAGTTTGAGCGATTCCAATCGTGATCATAAAAACAAAATCAAGAGCTTGATGATCAGGTGTTGATTCTGCGTGGTGTCTTTTCAGCTTCTGGAGGTCCCGGACGGCCACCGTGCTCCTGTGCCGCCGCAGAGCTGCAGCAGCGGATCTCAAAGCGACCCGGCTTCCGCCACGCCCCCCTCGCCGTCTTCGGCCTCGCCCTCGCCGGGCTCCTCGCCCGCCTCCGCAGCCGACGACGCCCCTCCGGACATGCGGAAAGGTGGCCGTAGCTCCCGACTCACTTGCTGGTGTCACGACGCCGGCGTTTCTGAACCGTCACCCTGACTGTATACAGGCTCGGATCTCCTGTCCCCGCCGTCATCCCTGAGCGAGGCCGACCCCTCTCTGGCTCTGCTCAACTCGTCCTCGCCCGGACCCAACAAGAGTTGCTGCTTCCAGAGAGAACCTCCCGAGGGCTGCGAAAAAGTCCGAGTCTGGGAGGAGACCAGGTGCATCCTCGTGCTTCATACTTGCCGCTTGTGTGTGATAGGCCTCGGACATTTTACAAGTGCGGTGGAAGGTTGTTGTTTGTCCTCCCTCCATGAGCTGCAATGTCAAGTATACTCATTGATTGCAGGCATCATAAAAGCTTCAACTGTTAATACTTTAATTGTAGCATTCTCAACTCCCGGATAAGGATAAAAATAAGTTCCATTTCCAGGGCCGATATTGGATTCTTGCAGTATGATAACGGTGAGCAAAAATATGGCGGCATCTCCCGGTGTTAAAATGACAGCTGTAAAATGTCCTTTCTTTCAGCACTTCAAAGCAGCCAAGGCCAGTGCCCGTCTCCTTCTGCCCGGACCCCAACAAGGTAAACTTTACCCCCCATGGGGGCTCCGCCTTCTGCCCCGTCAGCCTCCTTGAGCCGCTGTTGCCCTCCATGGACATGCTCTTCTGCAGCCTGTCCGTCGCGAGCCAGGGAGCCACTCGCAACCCCCTCGATTCTTCCGCCGTCACCTCCGGCCACGGCTACGCGCGCGCTGACGCCGTCTAATCAAAGCTCCTACTTTTCTCCAGTAGTGGTTGCTCTTGCTTTAATTTAGGAAAGCTAGCTTCCTTTTCGGTCTGGGTGTGAAATGTTTATTAAAAAAAACAAACAAAAAAATCATACTTTGGAAAGTAATCAATCCAAAGAGGAGTTTGTGTGTGTGAGTGTGAGAGTGAGAGAGAGAGAGAGATCCAAAGATTCACTTTTGGCCAAACATGAGTGCAAGAGGTGGGATGGTCTCTTTGAAGACATGTTGCTGCTTGACTGACACACACACACACACACACACACACACACACACACACACACTCCCTTTTTTTCCAAGTCCACAAAAGGTTATTTATCGGGGTCTCGCCATCCTGTATGTTTACCCTCACAACCGCTGGCGTACAAAGCGTGACAAATCATTTGGGATTCTTCTCATTCACACTTTGATGATGATTGCTGGCTGAAAAGAAACTTGCAAAGTTTGGCGTACACATTCCTGCTTTAAACAGTTTGTGTAGTGAGGAGTGAGGGGAGGACACGTGTTCACATGTTGCTCAGTTACAAAAAGGAAAAGTTTCCCAATGGTGTGTTTCTAGATGTAGTTGCCCACCTAACCAGTTTTAGTGGTATAGCCATTGTCATTTCCCTCTTTTCAAGGTGCCGTAGTTGTATTTCCTGGTAGACACATTTGCACAATCCGAATTGCTCCTTTTGCAATTTTTTTTTTTTTACATTCACTTTTGTACTTTTGTAGTTTCCATACCTTTTTTTCATTCCTCACATAACCTGCAAAATAAGCTAAAAAATACAAACTGAAAAAAAAGGCCTGTTTTAGTTTTGTCTGTATAATCAAGACAGGTGTTATGAAAAATATTGTATAAGATTGATTTTTTTTTTTTTTTAATGCACTTCCAAGAAAGGGTTTTATTCAGAGATGATACCCTTGCTTCCATACGTTAGTCTGGTTTTGTATATGTGCGTGCGGAATGAGCAGAAGTCTGAACTTTTTAAGTTTTAGTATCCATTGAATTGTATATCAACTGCAATGTGTCCCTCCCCCAAATATGGGCTCACTTTCAATGTGGTGTGGATGCTGGGGGGAGGGCTTCTGTCATCTCAGGTACTGTGTTCTGCCCACATGAATTAGAGCATTGATGATGCATGCAGCCTTGTTGTGACGTATTAAAAGCGTTCACAACACTGGTTTTTGGTGTAATTATTTTCCCCACGTTTCAGTAGATTTTATGGTCCGAGGACACCAAGGTTGGCTGCATTAGGCGTAGGCCTGTTTTTCTACACCTGGAAGTCAGGCCTTCGATGAGGTGGAGGCAGTTACGAGCAGATTGAAAACAACACTCAAAACATTCATGCTCGGCCAAATAAATGAAAACATAAAATGCAGAAAAAGCCTACCAGAACGGCTGAAATGAAGATGTCCTTTTACTCATAACGTCGTGGAAATGCTGAGGCTTGCTATTGCTGTGACTGAATGCCTTAAAATGGGCACACTTGAGGCCTTTGGCGGTTAATACGTCACTGACAACAAACGGTCCTGGGATAAACATGCAAATATGTTCTCTTGTGGCTATGAGGAACATGGGGATGACGCCAAAGCACTGGATTCTCGGCAAGTACTTTGAATTTTGAAGGAACAGGAAGTGGGACTGTTATCTGGACTTGAAGTGTTCAGATTGTTGTCTTAACCTTCACACAACTGCTTTTCAGATTTCAGCCCAAATTAATGACAAAAATGTCAATCACGTTTGTGTATCAATCAAAAATTGTGTATTAATTCCAACACGAGGTGAAGATGTTCGAGGCATCCGCGCCATCCATATATGGTCAGTGGAGGGCACCCACGCTATGACGTCTTATGTCTTAATTATCTTTTATTTTTTGTTGTAATGAGCTCCCAAACGAGCCACTCACCGCTTAAATATTTTTAAGCGGCGGTCACGTGTGTCACGTCGCCAGCTGTTGCCTTCTGCGCGTGCTGATTGGCTGAGTTGCAAGGAGGTGCGGCGTCTACTTCAAGGGTCCTTCCGGCGTGTCGGAAAACTGGAAACTTATTTTACCGCAGTGAAACCTGCCGTCGTGACCGGACAGCCTTGCCGTTTATTGATCCCCGGAGCCGGTCAGTGTCACCATGTCGATGCTCGGGACCGTCGCGAAGCAGCTCAGGAACCATCCAGCTGTGAGTGTGTACCTCGTCACGTTGAATTGATCAAATTTGATTTTTTTAAATGACCCGGTGACATTGAAAGGTGCCTCATTGGCGTGGCTAAAGGACGAGCCCAAAGCAGCACCGTCCTCTTTGAAAGCCACTCTCAATGGTGCTGATGTTTATGAAAACCTATTCATCTACAATCGGGTTTTACATTAATCTAGACATTTGAACAATAATTGCAGGACATTAATCACATATATAAACGTGTATTTCGTATAGCCCCTGAGACCAGTGGGAAAATAAGTGTAGGCCGATGATAAATGTCTATATTTCAATCAGCATACCGGTAGTCTCTATGCTTAGCTCTGTTATCACAGTGACGATTTTATAAATAATAAAATGAGAAAATAAAAAATGCTTTTTCCCAAGACATACAATACATGATAGCCCCACGGCCATTTATGTTGCAGCCAGCTGCACGTATGTACCTTACTGCCCCTGTACTTTATGCCCTGTGTATTCCCAAGATAAACATGACGCAAGGCCTGCACTTGCATATTTACGCAAGGACATTTTTCCCCCTCAAAAATAAGATTTTTTTGTTTCAATCTGCTCTAACGTTTCCACGAAACAGAAAGATTGTCTTGAGCTCTGTGTTTCATTATTTGGAATTTCTAATGTTTATTCTGCGCATTAATTTATGGCTTAAATAATGAACATCCTTCATGTACAAAATATCGATAGATCAATAGATCTATTTTTAATTGTATTGAGAAAAAAATACACAACTCAAAAGGCCAAGAAATTTGGGCTGCCTGATGATGGATAAAATAAAACTTGCTGTCCCAAACTTGGCATTGAACTGCAATGACCCTTTTCTTCATCAGCTCATCCCACTGTTCATCTTCATCGGTGGTGGGGCAACAATGAGCATGCTGTACCTTGGCAGACTGGCGCTGAAGAATCCTGATGTCTCGTAAGTCCCTGTGATTACTTCCCCAACCTCGTGTTCAAAACATATTGCTTAGTTTAAAGGGAAAAAAATGCTATTTTCCATTTGTTAGTTGGGATCGCAAGAACAACCCAGAGCCTTGGAACAAAATGGAGGCCAATCAGCAGTACAAGGTATGAACCTTTACAAATGAAGACATCACAGCCAAATCATGTTTTTTTCTGAATTGTGTTTGAGTGAAATAAGAAAAAATCAAAATACCCCTCCCATAAAAGGTAAAGTTTTCTTTTTATTTTTTTCTTACAAAGCAGTTTATTGAATCTATTCATTTTCTTTCTACTGCACAGCCAATGTTCTCTCTTATCATGCCTCAAAGTTCATATTGCCTACTTCATATCTGTTGTGTGTGTGTGTATTGAGAAAAAAATACACAACTCAAAAGGCCAAGAAATTTGGGCTGCCTGATGATGGATAAAATAAAACTTGCTGTCCCAAACTTGGCATTGAACTGCAATGACCCTTTTCTTCATCAGCTCATCCCACTGTTCATCTTCATCGGTGGTGGGGCAACAATGAGCATGCTGTACCTTGGCAGACTGGCGCTGAAGAATCCTGATGTCTCGTAAGTCCCTGTGATTACTTCCCCAACCTCGTGTTCAAAACATATTGCTTAGTTTAAAGGGAAAAAAATGCTATTTTCCATTTGTTAGTTGGGATCGCAAGAACAACCCAGAGCCTTGGAACAAAATGGAGGCCAATCAGCAGTACAAGGTATGAACCTTTACAAATGAAGACATCACAGCCAAATCATGTTTTTTTCTGAATTGTGTTTGAGTGAAATAAGAAAAAATCAAAATACCCCTCCCATAAAAGGTAAAGTTTTCTTTTTATTTTTTTCTTACAAAGCAGTTTATTGAATCTATTCATTTTCTTTCTACTGCACAGCCAATGTTCTCTCTTATCATGCCTCAAAGTTCATATTGCCTACTTCATATATCTGTTGTGTGTGTGTGTGTGTGTGTGTGTGTGTGTGTGTCTTTCCAGCTTTTCACCATAAACATGGACTACTCCAAGATGAAGAAGGACAGGCCCGATTTCTAAACCCATCTGTGATACTGTCGTCCCCCGTGGAGCATTTGCACAACGCTGACTGAAAATTTGTGCTGCTGTCATCTAATCAATGCATATGTTAGATGTGATGGGGGGGATCATTTATCGGTGACTGTATAAATAAAACAGGAAAGCACCTGTTTGACTGAACAATTCACTTTGAATTTTCCTGTGTTGTAATTTATTAAAAAAGTATTGAGATCACTCTTCTCGTTTCATTGAAGACTGGAGGATTAAGAGAATATGACAATAGTAGTCAATTGACACTTAGGTACATTACACATATCATTCTTGTCATGGGGCGCATTTAATAACAAATGTATTCAACCGCAACACAGAGCAGCGCGTTCGCCTTCTCTACCTGCAATTCCGATTCTGGCCACGCGATGCCAGTGTTGCATTTACCGAATTCATAGCCCGTTACACCGAAAGTGTGTTCAGAAAACATAACTTCACTCTCGTATTTTATCACCAAATATGTACAAAATATTGTTAATACTGTATACGTTTTAATCGCGTAGGTCCATGTAAGTGGTCATATTCCATGTTAAACCATTGACATGAAGGAGAGGAAGACCAGACGAAGAAGAGCAGGAAGCGGAAGAAGTTAAATCGCGCGAGATGAATTCAAAATAACGCGGGATCCTAAACGTCAACGTCCGTTCAAATGGGTGGCTAAGCTATTTTTACCCCAATTTCAAGCGTGAGACGCTGCGTCTTAAACTTACTATTTTTGGGTACTGACTGTCAAAAATTAGTCACTTGCTTCGCCCCCGATTTATCGTGAGCACATTGCCAGGAAAAGCAAGTAAGCTCAGGTAAGCAAGCGGCATGTCCGTCGAGATGGATTCGACGGAGAACTTGTCTCCTCGGGTTCTTCTCCGACATATTCTCAGGACCGAGCCACTCAGGACTCCAGTCACCCGCAGGTCAGGAAAACAACTTCATTACTGATTACATTTAACCCCCACTCCCCGCCTTTGTTTACATATAACGCGACAATTGACGTTGAAAGCAATGTTTATGTTTCCCCCACATGGATTGATCATCCGTCTTTACTTTTAGTGTTTCCAAAGAGCAGAGGTGCTCATTAACTCGCAGCACCAGAACGAGAGCCAAAGATGGACCTGCACGAACCCCGCAGGACATCATAAGGCGCAGTATGAGGCATAAGATGCGTGAGGTGAGGAAAGCGCCTCACAGCGCAGTACTTGCGGGGGTCGTCTGCTCTTTTCAACGACAACTATTCTTTCCAGAGCATATCCAGGCAATCTCTGCCACCGACAAAAAGATCTGCCTCCGTCCGGTTGAAAACGGCAATCACATCGGCCTCGTCCTCCATGTCATTTGACGAGGCAGACACGCCAAGGCACCTTCTCTTGAAGATCCTCCAGACAGGTGCACGTGACACTCCTGCAAAACCTCACATGGTGCCTCTGGGTTGTTTCACAACATCCTTTGTGGTGTTCTTCAGAACCAACCAAGTCACCTGTGGTTCATGATGAAGCTGCGCCAATGAAGCCGCAGCTGCCTTCAGCGGACTCCAGCATTGCCAGCGAGCATCCAAGGTGAGCAATATGTGCGTTTCTTGCTAGTTTCCCCAACATCTGTATTCATAATGCAAAATAAGACACAAAAGGTCGCTGTTTCCGTTTTAAGCATTGAGCTGTCTGGCTTGGACCTGCCCAATTTAACGTCCAACATGGCAGCGAGCTTGGCAAAAGGATTGAAGAGGAAGAGACCACATCGCAGCTTCAGCGTAACCGCCTTTGAAGAGCGCCTCAAACATGATGATGGTGAGGTGAAAGTTGTTGTGATTTGAAGGTCGACACCAAATAGTGCCATTTGACTTTGTGAATTCATTTCATCTTTGTAAAACATGATGTGACATGACAATGTTAATGTTAATAAGCTAACATCGTCCATCATGGTAGTGTAACCTCTGAAAAAGAGAACAAAGGCCAACTGTACACTGAGCGATGTTGCCGAATGCCACTGGACAAACGGCCAAGCCATGCCTTTCGGTTTCTCGAGTATATTTATTGCATTTTACAATAAAACTCGCGTATATAAATTTGTCCGCATCAGCGGAGAGTCTCTGTTGCCGAGTGGAGTGAGTAGCACCAACAAATGGAGCTATAACGGCAAATCATGAAAGATAGGTTCCTCCCCAAAATGGGAAAATATGCGAGCATTCCCTGTCCTGCAATCTGATCATTTGCTTGACTGTCGGCTTCCTGTGCAAACAGATGCTGAAAATGAAGAGGACAAATCGACGCGAGGCGATTTCTCGCTTTCGTTGTCAAAGTATGACGACACCATTTCTTTTCCGTCTTCGAAGCATTGTCACTGTTCCAATGACATAATGGTAACTTGGCAACCTGTCCTACTGTGTTTTCCAGCTCCTCTTCGCTGAGTCTAAAAACGCCCTTTGTGAATGATCAGTCCGAGAGAAAAGGCCTGCGGAGGAGAATATCTTCCCGTCAAATAATCACTGAACATGAGTTTGGTGATGCCGTAAATAAGATGCATTTAGATCACGGTGATTGAGCTTTTTTTCTGTCTATCCTCTTTTCATCTCCAGCTCCTCTTAACTGATATCACTTGGAAAAACATGTTCGATGCATGATTGATTCATTTATTTTGGGGGGAAATTCTTCAACTGTTATTGCTAATCTCTATTTTGGTCTGCTTACTCCATTTTTTCCCCCTCTCAGGAGCGAGCGGTTCTATGCAGGGGGAGCCCGGCCTCGGTGAGACCATCACTCTGGGTCTGAGCGAGTTGGGTGACCTGGAAGTTACCGCTGACATTATCCACTGCAACACCGCCCTCTATGCCAAGCCTGACGCCACCGCCGCCCCCGACCTCTCCACGGTCGCCACGCAGGACAAGGCCACGGTCCTGGCGTCTCAGCTTCAGAGGGTGTCGGAGCAGGATGGGCAGAAAGAGCCCGACGCCGGGCCTCAACTCCCGGAGGTGTCTGAGAGCCAGGCGAGGAGGGCCACCGCCAATTATGAAGACCAAGCGGCGACTTCCCAATCTGAGGGTGATGCAGCCGCATTGGAACCTGAGGAAGAAGACAACAAGGAAGGGGAAGTGGAAGGGATCGCTCTGGATTCTCAAACTGAAGAAACGGAGCATGAAGAAGCATCTGCAGAAGAGGGGGAGGCCGCCATGACATCTGAAGAGGAGGAGGCTGGCGTTGACTCGGAAACCGAAGGCGTGGTTGATTCTCAGACTGAAGAGCAGGTCGCTGCCCCCTCTCGGTCTGAGGAAAGCGACGCGGCCGAAGTGGAGAATGACAGGCAGCGGCAGCAGGAGGAAGATGAAGCTGATGAAGAGGAGGAGGAAAGAGATCATGATGTGCAACACAAGGAACGGCGAGCTCATCGATCCGAGGGCGCACTTGTCGTGCCTGTTGCAGAGGATGAGGCCATGGAGCCTGGTAAGAACCTACACATCCATACTCACATCTTATGCAAAACTTAGATCTGAAAAACTCAAAGTGTGTAGTGGTACACCAAAGAATCACTCCCCAAGTGCAGTTCATTTGTATTTAACTTTTAAGTTGAACACTTACATTTAAATGATATGTGGGACCTGTGGTGTGCAGGCAGCTCAGAGGTCAAGAACCGAACCCATCCAGCCAGCGATTCCCACAGCCTTGAAAGCGGTCGAGACACGGACCAGGAATCGTCAAGCCCTGCGCAGGAAGGCGCTGGTGACGTGAACTCTTTTCATCTTCTGGAGGTGAGCAACGGCGACGAAAACCGCAAACAGCCCGATGAGGGGCCCCCTGCTGAGGACGCGGAGCCCACCGAATATGGGGACGAGTTGGAGGAGGAAGACTGCGATGAGGAAGACGACCAAAAATCCAAAGGTCTCTCTCTGTCTGTGTCTCTCTCATTCAGTGTGAGCTGTTTAAAAATGTGTATGACTTCGGAATATTAATGGAACGAAAAATGTTTCAACATCAGCAGACATGAAGACTCCGGCATTCGTTCACGAGAAAAGGAAGACTTTTGAACTCCCATATCCGACTGCGCCCACCATATTGAAGCCTCAAGCCAGGCAAGCTGTACTCTTAAAACGATTATTATTTTTACCCCCAAAATGAATTGGCATTTTTCTCTGATGATCATCCCTCATGCACCATCAGTACTTCTACTGAAGATCTACCACCAGCCAAACCAAAACGAGCGAGAAAGCGGAGAAGTGGCGCGGCGGCGCAGAACGGCGTTGGCCTTCCCAAGAGCTACCTTATGAGCACGTTTCGCCACTTTGCCAAAACCAGGGTCTCTGCGGATGTTTACCCTGTCTTAAGGGACGCGTAAGTACCCGCAAGTATTTGAAACGGTCCACGTTTGGAAGTACATTCAATGGGGCACACCATGTTGATTACGCCACCCTCACTGCCTCCGCCAAGGTAGTCATATTTTCTCATGCTGCCGTTTTTTTTTTTTTGTTTGTTTTTGTGTGTGCAAACATACGCCATTCAATTTTAGTCACATAAACTAAAAAAGAGTTAATTAAATAAATAACTTTGCATTGAGCATCCTAGCCGGGAATGGTAACTGCTGGCTGCTGTCATTTACCCTTTTTTTAAAAATCAGAATGGAGAAATTCCTTGATCGGATGGCGGAGGACCTGGAAACGTTTGCCAATCACGCCGCGAGAAAAACCATTGAGGTGGAAGATGCCGTTCTGCTGTTGAAAAGGTAGCTCCTTGTTTCACGTGTTCGATGTGGCAGCCTGCAATATGCGTCAAATTGTCAACGTGCTCATGCTGCAGGCAGCGTCATGTCAACAACAAAGTGCCAGTGGAAGTGCTGATTGAAAAATACCTTCGCATGGAGCAGCGCAAGCTCCTCATCCCCGTAGCAAGCAGCGGGAACGTCGTCGTCCCCAAAATGAAGAGATGAATTATCAACATTGAGGGTGATTTCTGTTCAATAAAACTAAAACAAAACAAAACAAACAAACACTTGTGGGGGGGGGGGGTGTAAAATGGTGTTTATAAAAGAATTCACAATGTGAGACCCGTAGCAAGCAGCGGGAACGTCGTCGTCCCCAAAATGAAGAGATGAATTATCAACATTGAGGGTGATTTCTGTTCAATAAAACTAAAACAAAACAAAACAAACAAACACTTGTGGGGGGGGGGGTTGTAAAGTGTTGTGTATAAATGATTCACAATGTGAGAGAAATGAGTGATTAGTCTTTAAAAATCCAATAAAGTTTGCTTATACAGTGTTTATTCTTCCAAATATTTCAATTTGTGTCCATAACTTCAGGAAACTGATTCTCGCAAATACTTGTGATTCTTTCTTGCAGCACTAGAGGGAGCCTGTTACCACTCGTGGTAATATTGTAGTACAGTATTAGAACTATATTACACAGCAGATTAATTGTATCCACTAACATACCATCGTGTGATAACATCAAGTCATCGTTATTAAACTTTTAACACCAAATAAGCAGAGTAATAGTTTTATTTGTAAAATAAGAAGAACGGTGGCCAAACGAGCACGGCTCTCCTGGTGACGTCACACGGTTCAGGTCTGCCACTTAATAGCTAACAACAACACAAGGGTCCCGGAAAGCTAGCGAGCTTAAAACAAGAGGTAAGACCGTCCACAAATCACACCAGCCGCCACACGCACAGCTTCAAAACAACGCGGCGGAGCCCGTTGCGGCGTGTTCTCGAGTTGCGACTTGTGCAATTTGCGAGGCGTTTCGCTTGTCTTGGCTAGGTGGCTAACTAGCGGCTAGCTTCCGTGATTGAAGTTAGCTCGCGTGCTGACAGTCCCTCGCCACTTAACAACTCGCTTCAAATGCTTCAACTTTCACCTTGTCATTTAGTGCTCTTTCCCCACCACTCTCACGTGTAGCCATCGCGGCTGAAATGTTGAAACGTTTTTTTCAAAACGGGGACATGATTGTCAATTGGTGTTAGCAGGTTGCCTACCTGCTAACTGTCACCCCTTACACACACACACACGCACACACACAGGCGCGCTCCCCTAAAATTGGAGACAGTGCAACTGCAATTTTCATGTACGTGCACCAGTGCAACCATTACATTCGCTGATTATACTTCTTGAATATTTTCCGTGGCTGACAAACTTGTGCTCCACACTTAAGGCCATTTATTGTGTGAAACTGAGTGGGATGAACATTAACTTTGCCAGTCAATTTACAGTGTGTGTGTGTGTGTGTGTGTGTGTGTGTGTGTGTGTGTGTGTGTGTGTGTGTGTGTGTGTGTGCGCCCCAACTTCAAGCTCGCGGGTTCTGTGCTCCAAGTAAAATAAGTTAGTCTGGGCTCCTCAGATGAGAATGAATGAGCACTGCATAGGTTGTTGAAATACACAGTAAAGAGCAAATCGCACAGCGGAAGAGGCATTTGAGCAATATTGATAGAATTCTTGCCAGACATAATAGACCGTTTGAACCATCACCACAGGTGCCGCAGCAACAGCGGGTTCACGCAAGTTGTGCGCGAATAAATCAATTCATATCACAGAAAAACTTTCACATTTAGATTTTTTTTGGGATTGGGATCTGTGATATATATAGATATTTTTTTTGGTCAGTGTGAAAATCCCCGCAGAGTTAGGGGAACCACCAAACGCCTACCTCATGACTTATTTCCCGAATGTGAGCACAATGGCATGAACGTGAAAGCTGGGCTGACACACAGTTTTGATTGATCCTGTCGTCATTGTGGTCTGTAAAAGGGGCGAACCGCGTCCGTCCGGTTCTGCTGCAGATGGACTTTTGGACCGAGCGCTGAGTGCGTGCAAATAGCGCTTTTCTCCTTCAGTCGAGACCAACACCTTCCGTCACGCTGGCAATGTCAAGAGTTCCGAGTCCCCCTCCCCCGGCGGAAATGTCCAGCGGGCCTGTGGCTGAGAGCTGGTGCTACACGCAGGTAATGCGACATCTTTGAACTTTGCTTTGAACGCAGCACAAGTTCGGGTCAAGTGTTAGACGTGGCACCTCTTGTTGCGGCGTTGGGGAATTTCAAATGTTTAACTGCCAGATAAGAATTTTGTATTCAACATAATTTCTTTGACTGAGATGTTTGCTTGTTTTTGGGTGGTTGGCGGTGCTTCTTGTGCAGATCAAAGTAGTGAAGTTCTCGTACATGTGGACCATCAACAACTTCAGCTTCTGCCGTGAGGAGATGGGCGAGGTCATCAAGAGCTCCACATTCTCTTCGGGGGCCAATGACAAGCTGAAGTGGTGAGTGCGCAGCTCTGCTTACATGAGAGCGCAAGGCACTTTTTTTTTTCTTGAGGTTAAAGCCACTTCGCCGCCCTCCGCTTCAGGTGTTTGCGTGTGAACCCCAAAGGCCTGGACGAGGAGAGCAAAGACTACTTGTCTCTCTACCTGCTGCTGGTCAGCTGTCCAAAGGCCGAGGTCCGAGCCAAGTTCAAGTTCTCCATCCTCAACGCCAAGGGCGAGGAGACCAAAGCCATGGGTGAGCAGGATCGCACCCGATGTTTTTTTTCTTCAGATGGCCTGATGACGGTGTGTTTTTTTTTTTTTTTTTTTGTCCTCCCGACGACGCAGAAAGCCAGAGGGCGTATCGCTTTGTGCAGGGGAAAGATTGGGGATTTAAAAAGTTCATCCGGAGAGACTTCCTCCTCGATGAAGCCAACGGTCTCCTGCCAGATGACAAGCTCACACTTTTCTGTGAGGTATGCTGCCGTTATCCCCCCCACCCTCCCACAAAGAAACAAGAACTGACAGAGGCCACAGTAAACACGGCCTGGAAAAACATGTCAAATGAAGAATTCAACGGTGTGGGGAATTCAAAGGGTCGCAGGCTTGATGCAAGTAACAATTATGCCGCCAAATCCGAAATATTTATTCACTCAAGTTCTCGCCGATTTCACAGTTGTTCGTGCTTCCGTCTCGCCGCGTTGCCATCGATTGAGACCGTCATGCGCGCGCATGTGTGTATATTGCAGGTGAGCGTGGTGCAGGATTCGGTCAACATCTCCGGCCAGAACACCATGAATATGGTGAAGGTTCCCGACTGCCGACTCGCCGACGAGCTGGGCGGCTTGTGGGAGAACTCGCGCTTCACCGACTGTTCTCTATGTGTGGCCGGCCAAGAGTTCCAGGCCCACAAAGCCATCCTGGCAGGTAGTGACATGAGTCCCGCGCGTGCGCGGCGGAAAATCCTCGCTCGTTCCCGTAAGTCACACAGGTTCTCGTTCTTGTTTCTCGCAGCGCGCTCGCCTGTGTTCAGCGCTATGTTTGAACACGAGATGGAAGAGAGCAAAAAGGTGAGCCGCGAGGCCGCTTTTCGATTCTTCCACCGCAGTTATTTTGAGTGCGCGTTTGTTCTGTTGTTTGGCAAAAATCCAAATTGATTCTGCGGAGAAAGCAATGCAGAAAGCCACTTTCTTCATCTGACGTGAAATAGGAGCAGCCTCGTTGTTGAATCACATTTGCCCGTGTCTTCCCTTCGTCAGAACCGGGTGGAAATCAACGACGTCGAGCCCGAGGTCTTCAAAGAGATGATGTGTTTCATCTACACCGACAGAGCTCCCAACCTTGACAAGATGGCCGACGACCTGCTCGCCGCAGCCGACAAAGTAAGGTCGCCCTGGAAGATGACCTCACAATACGAGGTCGTCCGCATGTTGTGCTTTGTGGTCCTCTGTGTTTTGAGCGCTTGTGGCATCGATACGCCACGACAAGCCTCTGATCTCACCACAGCTAACAGGCGCGCGAATACTGACGAAGCAGACTTATTTATTCACCGAGTCCCGCTTTTTCCTCAGTACGCTCTGGAGAGATTGAAGGTCATGTGCGAGGACGCGCTGTGCACCAGCCTGTCGGTGGACAACGCGGCCGAGATCCTCATCCTGGCCGACCTGCACAGCGCCGATCAGCTCAAAACGCAGGCGGTCGACTTCATCAACTAGTGAGTTCACACAAAACACTCCCAGCGGTGCGCGTGCTTTGTTGCTCCGTTTTAATCGGTTCCACGGGGATTTGTGCTGTACCTGAGTATGGAGGATTTGGACTTTTACTCCGTGCGTTTGAAACACATGGGTACTTCCACTTCTTGCCCCTGCACCCTGCTTTCATTCTTTTTTTTTACCCAAGTACAGAGTGTGAGGACTTCTGCCACCCGCGGCACTTGTACGCGCTTGTTTAATCAGCTTCAACGTGTCACATTTCTCTCTTTTGTGTCTCGCCGCGCTTACCAATGTCGCCGTAACTCGGTCACGCCGTCGTACTTGAAGCCGGCCGTCAGATAAGCTTGTCGCTCGCAGAAGAGAGCGGGGCCGCTTGACTCCCTTGCGTGTGATGATGACATGTCTTTCATTTTCTGCTCGTGTACCCAAACGTGCCAGAGTCTCATGTCGCATTCTCTCATTCGGTTTGAGACCAAATGAACAATGTACTTCATCCCTTTCCTGTGTGTGTTCCCCCCCGCCCCCTTCATCTCCCAGCCACGCCGCGGAGGTGATGGAGACGGCGGGCTGGAAGTCCATGGTGGAGTCCCATCCTCACCTGGTGGCCGAAGCGTACCGCTCGCTGGCCTCGGCCCAGTGCCCTTTCCTCGGACCGCCGCGCAAGCGCCTCAAACAATCCTAATGGGCCTCGCCGCTTTCAACGCATCACACAAATGTCCCCCCTGAACGCCCACAAAAATGGAGAACCTTTTGCCCCTTTTTGCTGTTACTACACTACCTACAGCCTCTACCCCGAGCTCCCCCTTCTGAAACCATACCCCCCCCCCCCCACCCCTGCAATCCAGAACCTGCTGTATTTTAGTCCCTTCTCTTGATGGAGGGAAGAGCGAGGAGGAGGGGGAGGAGAGGCAAGTGGATATTTGTCGTTTACAGAAAAACAAACCTGCACTTTCCTCTGTGGCTAGTGCTGTACAACGTTGCGCTCTTGTTCCCCCCCCCACCCACCCCCATTTGTGAAGACTG